AGTCAGGGCAAGGTCAAGTTCGAAAGGCTTTCGATCTTGTGTTATTTTCGGCCATCCTCTATTTTTGTGTGGTGTAGAGAGTGGTAGTTGGTTGATCTCTAGGTGGATACAATGATTTTGATTCTCGAAATCCCCACAGACGGTGCCAAGGCATACAGACGCGCTACAGCGACACGTCACCCCACTCCGAAACGAAAGAGGTACGCCCCCTTTATTATCCGCCCATAACTTTTGTGTGTCTCCTTCAGAAATAGTGTACGCACTGGAGAAGCTGGGCACCAAAGTGCAGTGGCCGCAGAAGATGAAATCAGACCCCGCCACAAGGAAATCAAACGTCCTATGTGAGTTCCATCAAGAACGGGGGCACAAAACCGAAGACTGCATAGGCCTACGACAAGAGGTGGTCAGGATGCTGAACCAAGGATACCTGAGGGAATTACTCAGTGACAAAGGGAAAATCAACTTTGCACGCGGACGAGAACAACCCCACGGGCCGCCGAAGCCGCCCTCCCCAGCACGCACGATAAACATGATCGTCGGAGGCGGCGACGACTTGGCAATCAATCACGTCAAGTTCACCACCACGCACAAACTAAAGCGGACCATCGCCCATGAACGGTATGACGACTTCGAAGATAGTATCACCTTCGATAAGTCTGATGCCGACGGTTTGTCTTTCCCTCATTACGATGCTTTAGTTATCACTTTACGCATCGCTGATACAGATGTTAAAAGAATCATGATTGACGACGGAAGTGGCGCCTGTATTATCCACCCGAGGGTCCTCGTACAAATGGGACTCGAAGATAGGGTAATACCGCGCTGCATAACACTAACTGGTTTTAACAATGCAGTGGAACAGACGTCCGGAGAAATAGCACTGCCCGTCTTAGCGGGAGGAGTCACGCTGGAAACAACTTTCCACGTGATGAACCAAGAAACGACGTACAACGTCATCATAGGACGCCCGTGGATACACGCCATGCGAGCGGTCCCTTCAAGCCTTTACCGAGTGATCAAATTCCCTACCCCATGGGGAATATTCAGTATTCGAGGCGAGCCACGCACCGCACAAAAATGCTACAAAATAGCCCAAGACTGCGCCCACACCCAACAGCTAAAGGGGGCGAGCGCGGAGGCATAGCAATTAGCCGTGTCGGGGACTAAGGTCAACCCGACAACGGACGCCATCAAAGATCCCGAAGTCGTGGAGGCCTGTAAAGCGACGGTCGAAGATCTCGACCCAGTCCAGTTGGACGAAACCAATCTTACTAAGAAAGCCTATAACGGGCACGGCCTCGCCAACCCAAGTAAGTACCGTGAATTCTCAACTAACCATGCAGATTGGCCGTCATATGCTACTGTTAACCTTGTACTAAAAGATTAAGGCAAATGCTTACCTACTAATGAAACTGTCAAAGCTTTGCTTATGAGAGTGCAAACATGATACATAGAAGTGTTTTTAACTACCTCACTTTTGTTTAAAATAGCTTTAATCTTCTAGATATAATGTCAATTATTGTATCATGATGTTAATAGAAGCTTCTATGTCCTCCTGGTCAAAGAAAGCATGGCACATGAAGGATATATAAGAAAACCCAAGCAATTTATAATAGCTTGAGTATTGCATTTATCATGATGCATCATATATGTAGGTTGAGCTAATTATTCTTTTTAAGTATTTTAAAACGAATAAGATTGAAAGAGTAAGACATGTTTCAATACCTTTTAAAAATGCACACAGGTTGCTCAATTAGATTATAATTATAATGTAAAGTGTAAATTATGATTTAACAAGAAATTCATTTGGTTGAAAAATAAAAGTAGCTAAGTGTCTCATTTACGATAGAAAGCACTTATCAGATTCTATAGATCCAACAGGAAAATCCACTGCATATTGTGTTTCAGTAACTAAATGTGCCTTCCTGCAGATTCACCAAGTCCAGCTTCTTTCCCGAAGAACTTTTAATTTTGTTGACTTCATTTCCTGCAACTTCTATACTTCTTCCTCTGACTGCAAAAGAAAGATAGAATCTCAAGAATTTCATTTTCTCCATGGATCTCCTGTGAAATTTTGTGTGATATTTAAAATCAACTGGTGCAAACTGGTCAAAAGAAGGAGAGAGCAGCCATAAATGTCACTTTCAGAGGTCTACATTCGAATCAGTGTTCTTGACTATCCACGGGTGCTTCAAGAACTGGACAAGCAAATGTAATATCGTTATGCATTCTTCTTCACCAAATTGACGCATACCTTCTAATAAGCTTACTTTCTTTTTTTTAACCTCTAATAAGCTTACCTGATTAATGAGAGTCTTAGCTTCAGATACATCATGTGTTATCTATATATACACAAACATTAGACGCTGCTTCCTCTAGTAATTGTGTCAGAAATTCATTGATAACGGTATATGTACTAATACAAATACCTATTTGATACGTTCTTTTCTATTAATAATTGAAAAATCGAAAAGAGACAGATTATGAGTTAAAATGTAACTTTTTCATAAATACAACATGAACAAACTCTAACTGTCCTATTCACACCTGAAACTTCTCTTTAGGTGTGTTATATATATTTTGCATGCACTACTTATGAGCTATCATTTGTGATTAGTAGTAGGAATAGAAAGCTCTCTACCCTTTCAGACATATTATTCAAGATTTAAACTAGTCAACGAATAAGAAGGACTCATAATTTTGTGCTATATTTAACGTTTTGGATGAAATCTTAGATTATAAATTTTATGGATGATTGATGAACAGGAAGGATTCTTGTAATTATGATGGTACACTTCAATTGGTTAAAAGTTTTGGAATGAAAATTTACAGCTCAGATTCAGCCTTCAGTATATATATTTCTATGGTGACAAAAATATTAACAACCTTTGTCCTATATATATTGACTTTTATAAATTGACTTTTGTAAATTTCGTATATACTTTTTCCCCTTTATCTTCTCGTTACCAAATCAAATAAAGTAGCTCCTTTGGATACGACCATTGTATTGAAAGTAATCTTTGTAACCATATCCAAAACATCAGCAATTTTAGGGCCACACAAAACGCAGCAGCAGATATTCAAAACGCACTTAGGAACAGAGCTTCATAACCTAAAAGCTACAGTGAAACCACATCCTCCACCCTCAAATGAAAAAATAACAAAAAGAAAAGAGAATCAGTCTGAGTATTTCTAAGAACAGAGTGGACATTAAAGGATAATCTTACCTTGCTCAGACCCATCAAAAAAGCATTTGCCGAGAAAGTCAGACCAACCGAAAATCAAATCAAAAGTCTAGGTTATTCCTTGCAAAATAAATAAAATTGAAGCGAATCTCATAAAAGATGCAGCTTCATTAAATTGAAGAAAGAAATGAGAGAAAATTGAAGACATAGAATAAAGACAACGGAACACCACGAATTTAAAAATAGAAATACAAAGAATATAACTGAAATTTCATACCCTAATTGACATACCAACCTAAACCACTGTAAGCCGTCCACAAGATAATAGTTACAGCGGAAAAAATTTCATGTTTTGGATAGCGCTTGATACTAGTGGTATAGGACAATCAGCAAAATCACAGGGAGAGATGAAAGAAGAAAAAACACATGATCGAAGAGAAGCAAAGAAATGGAGAATGGAATGGAACATGGATGATGGGGATATTTCGGATTTAGATGGAAAGGACACGTAAGGACTTAGGAAGAAGCACCCTAATACAACAACTGGACTCAGTTGAAATTCCATAAATGCCCTTGCTTTAAAATGTAATGACAAATAAGCAACTACGTCGAAACTCTTTTCTCTTCTATATAGTTAAAATAAAATGAAAAATAAAATTAAAATAATACAATAGAATAATAGTACTCTAAATAAGTAATTAAACCAAAATGAGACAAATTAAAACCAGAACCAAGGATCGAACACCATTGTTTGAAAAGAAAGAAAAATAGGATCAAATGTAGCCGCCATTGACACGAATGATTTGTCCATTAACCCATTCAGAAGCATCAGCTGCCAAAAACCCAACAACCGGCGCAACATCCTCCGTCTGTCCTAGTCTTCCATGCGGACACTCATCAATTACCCTCTTAATCATCTCCTCCGTTTTCCCATCGTAAAACATCTCCGTCGCTATGGGTCCCGGCGCCACGCAATTCGCCGTTATTCCAGTCCCTTTCAGCTCCTTCGCCAGTATCTTTACCATGGCTTCCACCGCCGCCTTCGACGCCGTATAAGCCCCGTACCCAGGCCTGAACGCCGCCGCTAATGATGTCGTTAAGCATATAATCCTCCCCCCTCCGCCGCGCTTGATTCTGCTAGCCCCTTCCTTGCAGCATATGAAAGCCCCACGTGCGTTCACTTCGAAGGTCCTGTCGAAATCCTCAAGGGTTGTGTTTAAGATTGATGGGTATTTCCCGTCGAGTACGCCGGCACAGTTGACTAAGATGTTGACCGGCGATTGAAAGGCCGATTCTGCAGAGTCGAAGAGGGATTTGACTTGATCTGGGTCGGAGATGTTGGCTTTGACGGCGATGGCGCGTGGAGAGGAATTGAAGGTGGAATTGATGTGGGTTACGACGTCGTCGGCTTTTGTGGAGTTGGAGGAATAGTTGATGACGATCTTGGCACCCAGAGATGCTAAATGAAGGGCGATGGCTTTGCCAATGCCGCGAGAAGAGCCGGTAACGATGGCTACTCGATCTTGTAGTGGGAAGCTTTGGCCTTGGGTTGATTGCTGAATTTCTTCTGCCATGACTCCAGAAAACTGATGAAATTGCTAATAAAAGGAAAGTGTGAAGTAGGAAGATTACATATGAATGAATATTTATATAGACAGTGAAGTGAAGAGAGGGAAGGGGGAAGAAAGTGAGGAGGAATCAAAGGGGTTGGACTTCCGAGGAAAGCACGTCACTGCTCAAGTCACATTACTAAGGGGTGTTTAGTTGGAATATGATTTACATCGGTATAAGTTATGCCGGTATAAGTTATATTGAGTTAAGTTATGCTGTAATTAGTTATGCTGGGATTATTGTTTGTTCATTGTTTGGTATGTTGTATTAAGAATGACAATTGCATAATTTCTAAGAATAAGGTATAAGTTATACCGGTGCTAATTACCCCACATTCTATAAGGTATAAGTTATCCCAGTGTTAAAATTAACACCGGAATAACTTATACCTGATTTGCTAACCAAACAAAGTATTAAGATGGTATTAAATTTTTATACCACCCTTATACCTTCTTATACCTCATACCAAACGACCACTAAGGGAAGTCTTTACTCTTCCAGAAAATCCCTTAAATGATTGTAAGAGTTTACTTGGATAAACGGGTAATAATGTAATGAGTAAATACGGGGATGACACAGTTACAATTACTGCAAAACAAAAATTTTGTCTCACAAAAAAAAATATTTAACCTTATCTATCAATTTGTTTTTTTATCCATCAAATTAATTATATTTTTTATCCATAGTAGTTTTTGTGAGAAATTTTCTCTTTTTTCTCCAATTTATTTTATTTCTATGCTTCTTTTCTTTTTTTACCCTTTTTTCTTTCTTTTCTCCTTTTCTTTTTTCTCGTCTTTTTTTTTTCTCTTTTATTTATTTATTTTTGCCTAGATCGTATTATTATTATTTTTACCATAACTATTTCACACTCAAATTTGACTGCTTTATTTTTTTATTTTAAATTTTTTTTCTTTATTTCTTGTTCCTTTTCTAATTCACGTGATTGCCATGCAAACCTTGATCTCCTTCCCTACAAATATCAGTACACACTCTACCATTAGCAATAACACTATCAGTTATGGAGCAAGAAAATATAATCTACGGCCACCAAATCTCCATATATACTAGTTAGAATAGAAATGATAATCAAATATTGGAAAATGCAATAAAAATATAAGCAGCAAAAAAGACTTCTAGTACCACATGATACCAATATGGTATAAATGTCACTACAAGAAATCACACTTATTGCGGCGACAAAGGTCGCCACAAAAGCCCTATAAGTCGCTGGTAAACGGTATTAGCGGCAACTTTTGTATTGCCACAAAGAAAACCGTAACTGAAGGTTATTTGTAGCGACATGTATAGTCGCCACTAAAAGAGCATATTCTGTGGCGACAAAGTTGCCACAAAAGGTTGTTAAAAACGCTACAAAAAAGTGTTCCATAAGAACAAATATTGGATGGGTCATCGCTATATATTCACCTTTAGCAGCGACAATTGTCGCCACAAAATATATTTATGTTCAGTGGCAAGATTTTGTCGCCGCTATAAATATTCTTTAGTAGCAACTAAAACTGCCACAAAATATATTTATGTTCAGTGGCAAGATTATGTCGCCACTATAAATATTCTTTAGTAGCGACTAAAATTGCATCAAAAAATATTTATGTTCAGTGGCAAGATTATGTCGCCACTATAAATGTCTTTTAGTAGCGACAAAAGTGGCCACAAAAGGTTTAACCATGAACGACACAATGTTTTCTGTAGCGACTGAAGTTGCTGCCAAAGAAATTGACCTTGCAGTTACTAATTTTTTGACAAAACTATATCGCCACTAAAGTTATTTTCTCAGCAATTATAACGACTAAAATTATATACATTTCCATACCTGTAGGAACCTAATTCTCTCAAATTTCATATAGAGATATTCATATTAATTGACTATCAATATTAAAGCGACCAATAATGCTTGACAAACACCAAAAGAATTTCTCAAGCCGAATATTACAAATATTATCATTACTAAAACGTCAATTACATATATACTACCCGACACTTCATTGTGCATTGTGCATTGTAATTGTAAGCATATACATATCCCAAAAAAGATAAAATATTAAGTGCCTTGTAACTGCTCCTTGCTCGCCATCATGCTTGAACCACTGTTTAAGTGCCTTGTCCCTGCTAGACAAAAGGAATATATATAAGGAACAAATAAGAAAAAAAACAAAAAGATTATAGCATAGGGTCACAAAAAACTAATCTTTTCTTATATTTGAGCTGACAGTAGAAACCAAAGGGATTAAACTTGTAAAATCAGCCATAAAGACTAATTGTTTCTTACATTTGGGCTCTTAATCTTAAGCTAAGAGAGCAAACGGAAAGTGCAGCAACCTTAGGATTGTAAGATCAGCGACAATACTAATCCTTTCTTAGGAAAGAGCTCAAAGAGTCGAACAACTCGAAAGGATAACCAAAGCTAAACTCCACAGTCGGTCCACCCAGTTACAATAACAACTATCCCCAATACTAAACTAGTTGGGGTCGGCGAGAACTAAGAAAAGCTCCGAGAAAACAAAAACCCAGAAAACTTATAGCATTGAACTGGATTACTGGACATACAAACTGAAATCCGTTGCTAGTCAACCATAAGTTGAGTTGAAATTCAGAAATTATTTCTTACTTGATGAACGATGCGATTGAAGTGGTTGTAGTTCCTCCCAAAACTCCTCGACAAAGAATTAGAATTAAAAAGCAACTAAACCAATTACAACTACTTAAACAATCAACAAAAAATCAGCTGAGTAGAAGTAAAACAATAAACCAAAAGTCTTGCTCACTGCCAACATAAGCATAGCAGGAACATAGGTGAGAAGGAACAATTCCTCCACTGATGTTGCTCATTGCAGAAAGTCACAAGTTCAGGGCCAACATAAGCATAGTAGATTAACCACTAGGCAAACCAACCTTATGTACTAAATCAGAGATACTAACACATTACGTATTAAAACCAACCATTCTGTTGAAATAGAACCAACACATTACTAAAACCAGAGATACCAACACATTACTAAACCCCTAAACATGAAGTCACTACAGAAGGAAGGAAGAAGAAATGTTGAGAAGGAAGAAAAATTGTTAAGAAGGAGCAGAGCAAGTACCTGTTGTTGTTGCATTCTTGTCAAGAAACTAGCAAATTGTTCTTGCATCTTCTTTTCCACTTCTAGAGAGATCCTCTTGTCTGTGTCTGCATTTGCGTGTTGACGCTCCTCTGCCAACTTCCTTTCCAACTCAATTTCCATATTCTTCGCAACTCAGCAGCCATTTGTTCACGTTCTTCTTGCAACTTTCTATTCATCTCGACTTGCATCTCCTGACGCACAATATCAATAGCAGAAGACACGTTGGCCTCTATGTTTGCCTGCTGAATGTTACTCTTTTTAGGAGGCTTCTTTCCATATCCTTTTCCACGAACATAGCCTGTTCTCTCACCAACAACGGAGGATAAAATCTCATCTCTAGTCATGGGTTGCTCGATCTGCTCAGATTGTTGCTGAGCGACAACTTCCTGGAGTTGAGCCTACATTTATGCATAATCATTTAAATCAAAACATAATAATGGGCTGAAAGGAAATCACAGATAGGCATAAGCATAGAGGAGAAACAGAATACTCTGCTGATCAAATTTTTCATCAGAAGCAGGGTATTATGGCAAGGTATAGCAACAGTATTGGAAAAGTTAGGACCTGCAACTCTTCAGGAGGTTAACACCTCACTATTTCAACAAAAGGGAGGCATAGAGCTGCACCAACAAATTTCCAATTCTATGAACAAGATGGCAAGCTGTCCATATGACAACAGAGATTTCAAAGCTGCATGACAGACCTTTTGTGCATAGACCTCATATAGGGAGCAAGGCAAGGATTTGTGCAGAACAATATAGGAATACATATGCAGTTCATGTCTGCTGCATAGTCGATAATGCAGATGGAATACTTGTTTCTGCAAGAGATCAGTCACTCAATTACCACGTTCTAATCCATATGGAGATGAGCATGGTAATAAGAGGGGAGGATCATATCAAGAAGAAGGAATTAGCAGGAGCATATGCAACTGACCATCATGTTCAAATCCATGAGGAAGAGAGCATGATGGATCTGTTTTTTGTTAACAATTTTTTCTTTGTTGCAGGTGATGTATCTGTTTATATGTCTTATTATTTGATGGAATTTCAGATGGTGGTATTAGTGCAGTGCACTCAACCCATTGAAAGGAAATCAAGTATAAGTATAGAAACAGAAGAAAAATAGGGTACTCTGTTGTGCAGTTTTCTCGACAGCAACAGATTTTATTGGCGAGGCACAACAGCAATTTATGAGGTTATTGGATATGCTAAGCAACTGAAGGTTCATATTTTTTTCCACAAAGGAAAGAATCCAAATAACCTCAGGCAAAGAGAAACAGGAGCAACAACATCTATGGGAATACGAATGGGACAGCTACATACACATCTGGGACAAATATGCAGGACAGATCATTTGGTGGTGTATTTTAATGTGCACCTTGATAGTATCAGCTCCTACAGAGAGCCAGGCAATAGGAAAACAAATGAGGCATCAGCAGCTTGCAGGACAACTCTATGGTATACTGATGAGAACCATTGGTTTAGGCATCAATTTTGTCAAAATATAGCAGATCATGGGAGCAAAACTGGGATGCAGGCTAGGACATCAATGTATAAGGAAGACAACAGGACAAAGATCACATCAACAGTTGAAGAAATTTCACAGGAGCACAAGAGCAAAAATACAACAGCTGGAAAATATGAAAAAGCAACATGGATCATTTGGCAGACTGATTCAAGGATCATTATCACAATCTGGGGTACAAACATGATGTTGCAAAGCAAGGAGACATACAAAGAAGTGTTTCAAGAAATGGTCACAACAAATGAAAGGTGGAAGCCAGTAAAACATCAAGGCAAAGTTGATACAAAAATGGGCTATTTGTGTAAATTCTGGGCAATGAGGATTACTAAACTTACATGAATTTGTTGGGATTGTGAATCCAACCACACCAGTCCGCCTCTATCA